TACATTCTGAATTATACAACTTAACGTCCTAAGACCCGAACTCTTCCACGACATGCATTTTTAATTTCTCTTTGATATTCGGGCATATTGGGGCCCGATGAATGTAAAAACAAAGAATTACCAGATTTTTTTTTACCTTATTTTTGTTTTTAAGAAAAATGAGAGCCACAAATGAGGATATTCATTTAAAATTTTGATAGAACAGTAGCAGTATAATGTCCTCGTAAGTGGATATCAGGCCTATGTAGAGCAAAATTTAGTATTTTGGTCTAAATAACCCAAAATGCGATGTCCACATATGTGGACGGCAGGTCCTAGGAGGTTAAGGTATTTTTGCCGTTAAGGTTTAGTAATTGGATATAATGCAAAAAGTAGGGCATATTGTACATAATGGTGATCTCCGTCATTTACCTCTTGTCTCCCATTAAGTTTGTTGTATCTATGATGTCAGTAGTATTATATTACAGAGTTAGTATGTAGGTTTTAATCGAGTTCGAGGTCGGTGTCTCTTATGTGATGACAGGCTAAAAAACCCCCCCAAAATAACAAAAACACAAACTCCAGTGATGTAATGGTTAAACAGTCCCACCAAAAGCGAGCTTGTGTTTAATATTAAACAAGGCCGTGCTTAATAATAAACAAAAGGTTTCAGCTTTTCACCCCACGCCAGACAAAGGCGGGAAATGACTGAACGGCTTCGCTTCCACACAGTCACCTGTTGTTGTCATTGTTTCAGTGCAGCAACCTGATATTTCCTCCTGTGGGAGTGTGTGCTCACAGAAACCATGTGTAAAGAAGCAGGGAGATTTAAATGTTTAAACTAAAGTTTTGGATTAATTCATAGTGACGTGGAGTTGGTTAAAATCTGTGTTGTGTCATGATGCAAAATATAAGAACATCAGCTGTTTGCAGACATTATAGCTGCGATCAAACCTTTTACAACTTCGAGGTATGTGGAAAAGAGATTGTTCAGTAACCAGCCTCATACAAGAGGCTCAGATGACACATTTCAGCAAGGAAAAACATCTTTGATGCATTATGTCACCGTGTAAACAAAGCCAGTAATGGTTTGGGGAAATTTCAGAGACGCTGTAAAGTCATCAAGGGTTTGACCTTTAGCCGCTGCCACTGTGACAGTTGTTCTTGCTCCACGCCTTAATGAGATTCTGTTTACACAAATGTTATTTTGTGTAAACAAAGAAAGTGATAAACCTCTATTCTTTTCTCACTTTTCAATAAGGCGTGAAGAGGATTCAGAATACGGAGAAGAAATAGGAAGCATGAGCAAATCAAGCGAGCCTTTGTTATAGTCTTTAAAATCAGCATCATCTTTTATGTTCTGTCAGTGTTTGTGTCGCAACATGAGAGTGTGTTGATGAAGCATTAACATGAATTACCACCTTGCCTGTGCAGCGTTGCTATTCCTGACACACCCACTCTCTGGAGAAGCCCAGACCTGATCAGAGACACGTAAACATTGGAGGAGATCAAAAAACTAGGTCTGATAGCACCTCGTCATGGCAGATTACATTAATGAATGGGTACAGAGGAAGCAAGGGGGGGGGGGTGATGGCAGGAAAGCTGGAAAAGTTTGGCTTACTAATACTAATGGATCAACTTCTCCTGTTTAGGTTCTAAACTAAGCAAAATTATAACTAAGCATAATTCAAACCTGATCAGCAAAGTCTAAATAGGACAGGTGTTATTGTAAATGTAGTCTATGGTCCGTATAGGCAGAGGTAAAGATAAATAATCAGTAGCTGATGGGCCATACTGTGTTTCCTAGAGCTGGCACATATGAGTTGCGCAAAAGAAAGCAGGCTATGGAAACAGTGAGGAGAAAAGGTTTATTTCCTCCTTAGGCTAACTTGTGTGTAACAACTTGCCACTGCGGAAGAAAGAGGTGGATTTTCACCAGCTTGTTGTGTAACCATTAATCTGCTTATTATACTTATTCATCTTACAGCCTGCAAGGCCAGAACAAGGAATGTTGTGTTGGAGAATGTGTTTTTCTTTGTAAGCAAACTCTGTGTAATGCATTTGTGATAACTGCATGATTGGTATGCACGTTAAAGTAAATGTAGCCACCACAGGAATACTCATGCATTTTATTTTAGCTGCAATCAGACCGCATTATACTCAGAAAAAACAAACATGCCCCAAATGCTGTTGTTGATGATATTGCTGATGTTGTTAATTGTATTTTATTGGAATGCAAAATGTAAAAATTACAGTTTTCTTTTATTTGATGGCTTTCAGTATTTTTTACAAGAGTAAGTATAAATAGTATAACATAGTCTCAAAAGTTGGAATCATCCTTTATCCATTATTATGTTAAAAAAAAAAGTCAGGGTTCAGTTTATATAACTGAGGTCCACGATGTTACAATTTAGCTCTCTTTTACTTCTTTCACTTTGGGACTATAAACCTGTGTTCAGAAGGAAGAAACTTGACATCAAACCCTTGTAATTTTCTGGTGTACAGGGATGTGGGGCTAAGCTGTGGCTCACCAGTAAGCTTCTGTTCTTCATTATCATAGTTTTGTCAGAGTGAAAATAAGAAAGTTTCCTTAAATATGACAAATATTGATGCTAATTTTCACACTTATCTTCACAGTTTGCTTAAAATTGAAAATTTCACTCAATTATTGTTTTGCACTATTTCTAATATTGCACACATTCCACCAGCTAACCCTTATTGGACATGAAAGGAGGCTGTTTTCTAAATTCAGTAACCATTTTTAGTAGATTACTATGACAATTTCTCATGTAGTAGTTGCCATGTAATAGATGTTGTCTCGAGGTCTACTAGCTGTGGGGATTCCCAGATATTTCCTCCAATGCCATTATGAGTTTAACATGTTGGTATTTAGTTGTACGTCTCATTAAATATGGTATGTATAATCATGAAAGACCACCAGCATGGTTTGGACTTATCTAGTCAAATGCACACATCTATAAATGTTGATTGATATTTATTATTTGTTGGTCAATGGAAGCCTCTATTGGCCATAAGAGGGCACCAATCTGTTATTATCTGAGAGTTTCTGTACACAGATGGATAGCACCTGTCTCTCCTTATCTCTTCTGTTACAACAGCTCGGTGTATCCTGAAAAGTTGTGGCACTAAACAGACTTAAGCTTCACAAAATATTTGTGCAAGGTTCTCTGTCCGGAGAATAATGTGAAGCACTGAAAGGAGTTAGCCTGAAATCAACCTTTATGTGACTGAAACTGCAAACAATGGCCGTCCGAATAGACACGAACCGTGTTCCTCAGTTCTGAGTCACCACTGGAGGAGGAGGAGGCCAGGAGGAAGGAGAGGAAAGGCTTTTGTGTATCTGTGTCTGCACAACAAAGAAAGGAGAAGGCGTATAGACCAATGTGTTTGTGAAGCAGGATGAAGTGGGTGTGTGTTTACATGGATGCGTACTGCGTTTGTTGCATTTGTATATTTCTGCGAGACAGGAGGTAAAGTTTTTTTTCCTTTTACATTAGTTTGAGCAGTTTTAGATTTTGGGGGTCTTTTATTAAATGACAGAGATAGAGGTCTGTTTGTGCTTTATGAGAAATGTAGACTTTGCATGTAAAGTTAAATCCACACCATCAGATATTTCCCACAAAACAAATCCACTGTGCTCTTTTCCATTACCCTTCCTTGTTCTTATTTGGCCTGTTTGTATGTTGTTACGTAAGGTTACCAAGACCAGAAACAAAAACAAACATGCAACACTAATATATGGTCACATTGGCTAAATAAGTTTTCCTCCCTTTAATTTGGAATCTTTCACTTTTTTGCTTATTTTCTTTCCTCTTGCTGTCTTTCCATTATAAATATTTTATTTTGAGTGTAAAAGTGAATATCCACAGGTATTCTGCATGTATTTGTCACATGAAAAACTCCGACACTAAAGCACAGCCACACCTAGTGAGGTGTGTTGTCATATGCCCTGAGGAAATTGTTCTTTTCTCTTCTCAACAAGCTATGCAGTGTTTTGAGCTTCATGAGTCTATGTACTCTTTTCATTCCCCCTTGCCTGATCAGTGCAATCTATCTATCTATCTATCTATCTATCTATCTATCTATCTATCTATCTATCTATCTATCTATCTATCTATCTATCTATCTATCTTAGCCCATGTCAAACGTCAAACACTAGGGGGCAGAAGAGGACCACTCGGGATGTTAGAGGCCCACCAGGCCCTTTTAAACCTTTTTTTTTTTAAATCAACACACTAAAGTTTGCCTGTGTTTTTGTCCAAATAAACGCCGACAGACAATTTAGAAAATGCATATCCCTGCTCTTTATCCTCATGGCCTCTCCTGAATGAAAAACAATATATTCTGTGCTATAAAGTATGTTGTTGACAGATGAATAAAAACAATATTTTGGTAGGAAAGTATCTTGGCTGTAAACAAAACGCTTTATGAACAGCATCTCCAAAAACTGAAGCACAGTTTCTTTTTTATTTACCCTTTTATTCAAGTTTTTTTCTCCTAATTTCCTGACATCTTGCAGGTCTCCCTGTACTATTACAACACATAGAAACGTTTACAGTAAAGCACCGTCATCAGAGTAAGGCACTCTCCCTCAAATAAGGTTATATCGACCTAAAAATATTTTATGGCAACTGTAATCTTATGACCTCTGTATTCCTAGATGGAGTGTGCCTGGATTGCACGTCTGCATATTTAAAACCTTTTGCAAAAAAAAACAACAAAAAAACAACAACAAGCAAACAACAAACTACAGCACTTGGACTTAAAATATTTACTAACTGTAGTATTTATTTCCTAAAGACTTCATGTGGGATTGCTGCAGTTCTTTGGTATCTGTGTGTGTGTGTGTGTGTGTGTGTGTGTGTGTGTGTGTGTGTGTGTGTGTGTGTCTTTCTCTCTCTCTCCCTCTCCCTCCCGTCGTTCGCTTTCTCTCTGGATGTGTTTGGAGAGGCTGATCTTGTGCGTAAAATATCCCTGATATTTGAGGCGCTCCACGGATTTAGCGAGCATGCCCAGTGCGTCCCTCTCGGCAACAGTGGAAACCGCTGGTGAAGCATAGGAGTCATACCAAGCATAGCCTGCGTGTCAGTGCAGTCGACTTACAGCTGGCTGTGAGGAGAACTGACGCTACTCATATTTTTGTATTATTTTATTTCTTTGCGCTTTGTCACCGCTGCATACTTACCCGTATTTCAAAAAGTAAACTTACTGAGATCACTTTCCACACGGGTTAAATTTTGTTGAGTTTCCACAGAAGTAAAGTTGGAGGCTGGGCCTTTGGCTTTTTTACCGTCGCTTCAGAGGAGAAGGGAGAAAACAAGCTGGTCTTCTTTTTCCCCCCTTTGTTTTTAATTAAAGCCCGATAAATGCTACTAATGAAAATGGACCTGTTGAACTACCAGTACCTGGACAAGATGAACAACAACATTGGCATTCTCTGCTACGAAGGTAAACTAGCGGGTTTGGGCTGTTTGTGGGCGTACGGCTGTTTTTAAACTTCGGAGTGGCGTTACGCTGCGAGCTAACGTTAACGACGTAGCTGGTCGAAGTTTTCTCCTCAGTTTACGCTGCTTCGCTAGTTAGTCGTTTCTTCCCGCAAGCACGGTAGATAAAACGTGCCACTCTGTACACATGAGCATTGATTTAGCTTGTATACGATTTATGAATACAGACTTGAGTAGTGTTTTTCAGCATTTGTTTTTAACCCGATTGTAACGCATTTGACGTAAGCGCTCTTTCTATTTTGTCCTTTTCTGAATGGCTGGAAGTGCATTTATTCACTTGTCATATCATTGTTTTTATTATTGAATAAAAATCTAGAAAGAAAAGGCTGAATTAATTGTCTGTAAGTCGTGTGTCCATTTAATGGTCTCTCATAAGACTGACTCACAGTATTACTAGTTAGCGAGCTCTCTGGTGTTGTCCTATTATTCATGCCGTTTGCATTCAGATGAACGGATGTGTCCAAGATTTTCACATCTTGTTTTGTGGGATTGACCCCCTACAGCACGCTGTAAGCTGCAGCTGCTAATCTTTGTTTAATTTTACAAGTGCAGAGATTTCTTTCTGTGGGCTGCAAGTCATTTCATGGCATTAAGGTAACTTTTTCATTCAATATTATGTCTTTGTCATGAAATCAGAGAGTAGAAGATTCCAAATCTCTGCAAACTGCCTGACTTTGAAAACGCTCTTGTCTCCTGTCAGGCTTTGTAAGATTATCCTGTCTGTCCGGGGGCTATGTCCAAGTTTTCCCTCTGCCCTGTCGCTGGCCTCTGCTGCAGCAACTAGGGTCTAATCCAAGAGTGGAAAAAAAGCATGTCCTTGTTTAATTTCACCAGCAGGTCCTCAACTGTCAAGCTGAAGTCAGGTCAAAATGTTCAGTTTATGACATGAACATAAAGTAATATGTTTTATAGATAGAAAGTAAATCTTTGAGACTGGTAGATAACGTGGTGACTGATAATTAGTCCTTATCTTATTTTTTACTATTACAAAAGCAGCAGCAACACAAAGACAACGCATTTTCTTAATAAACTGGTTGGCAGGCTTTTCTTCTCCTGTTTTTAGTCACATTGCTTCTTTCCCCTGCTATTGTGCCTTTCAGCTTGCCTCATCATTTAACATATAATTAACTTGTAATGGAGCTCCTTTTAAATATGCTGTGACTGACACCCATTTTGCACATTTGCACAATGGCATATGATTAAAACAGATGTTAGTTTCTGTTTTGTTTGTTGGTGAACCTGTGCTACCAGCAGCAGAAGAAAAAATGTTTTTGTTTTTTTTTGCGGTTTGGCATGTGATTAAGGCTTCTGTTGTGTTTTTATCTGTTTCTAATGCTTCTGGGGAAAGGGGAAAAAAAGCCTTGGGTTGCTGTAATTCCTGTTTGGCTGTTGCTTGCATTTAGGCACATGACTCTTCAAACTGTTCTCAGAAGCTTGAGCTCACATGCCATTATTGAGAAATGTTGGTGCCATTTCTGCACAGTGCAGGTGTATTAGATAAGCCTGCCACTGGCCCGGGATTTTTGCTAGTCAGAATATGAGCGTTTGTGTCACCACGAAGCTTCACTCCTCACAGCTGTCATCTAACTCTAAATAAAATGACATAAGTAAAGATGGAGATAAAATCTTTGTAGTGGTATTTTTGTGCTTATATATCTGCTGGTTTGGATGCAATTTGTGTCTGGAAGCATATCTCTGCACTATTAAGACAATCAGTTTGGTTTTCTTTGTGTTTGTTTGTTTGTTTGTGTGTGTGTGTGTGTGTGTGTGTGTGTGTGTGTGTGTGTGTGTGAGACACAGAGAGAGAGAGTGTATGGTTTTTAGCTGACTGAGCTAAAATCTGAGCTTCATGATAAGAAAACAAAGCTAAAAGGACACGCTTATCAGTGAAGAGGGGAAAAGGAAAGCCCCTCGTGTTCAAACTTGTTGAGCCAAGAAAGGGATAGAAGTGCTTTGTGATATTGTGGGTGTTCTGACTTGTTACTATATGCATGAGCCAAACTACACCATCATTTCCCAACAATCACGCTCCTACTTGTATACTGTCCTGTTGTGAAGCTATTACTGCTCCTGTATTATCACTGACATTTAACAACATTTAATGCAGATGGGACATTTGAATACCCTGCCTATAATGCAACTGAATAGCTGCTAAAAAAAAGTAATAATGGATGAACAGCTTGGATAGTCTGCACTAGTGTGACTTTCTAGGTAATCTCAGGTTGAACATTTTATTTGTTGTGCAGGTAGATATATTGTTTTTACAGACTGTGTAAGTGACAAAGTTTAGTGAATTCTCGCACAAACAAATCAAATCAGCTGTAGTGAATTAGAAAAAAGTTGACATCATTCAGGGTCTTGACTTGGCTCATGGAAAAACAGATTCTGACCTCAAGTTCATTCACCAGGGGTGATTAATGTGCTATGATGGTGACGTGAACCTACAGTGACATTAATCGTCTTCCTTTCTGTCTTTATGACTTAATTCATCTCAGTTGTGAGTTAAAGAAAAATGTGTGTTCACTCCTGGTTGGACAGATGAACATGTGAAATTTGGAAGTTTATGCCATGTCATAAATTGTATGCAACTGTGTGCTTCATAACAAATTCCATATAGTAGTCATTCAAATCTGAAGCCCACCAATACTGTAGTTTTGGGGCTGCCATATTGACAAAAACTACAGAGTGATGTCATTTCTAAACTTCCTCAGATATCTTTCTGCTTTATGTTTGTTTAGAAAAGAAGCCATAAGAGCATATACAGGAGAAAAACAGTAATGATTTATCTGTGATTGGCCAGAGCTGATTGACAGTGGGCCCACAGCATTGAAATTAGATTGGTTAAACAACGTATTGATTGCGACTGACATTGTTCAACACTTTCCTTCTATGCTCTCCAGCCATGTTCGATGTGCTGCATGTTCAAACTAAATGCATACTAAATACATACATGTGACATACTGGCTGAAGTGGGGATAGGACTTGCCAAAAGAAAAACCCCAAAACCTGATCTATCACCATACTTGCTCATTGGCTGTCGCTTTGCTGCCTGTGGTTGGTTGCTTGTGGACATTCTAGGCTAATGTTGCCTGGATAACTTGTTAATATATTTGCCCCCTTTGCCAATCAGCAATACCATTCACTCTAATTGCTAGTTGCTTCAATCAGTTGCCTTAAAGTTGACAAAACTTGGGACCCATTGCATCGTTGCTTGAAGTTGCTGAATGTCATCGACTTTCTATGATGTTCCTACTTCACTGAACACCCCTTTAGTTTTCAGAAACTTGAAGCTCAGTTGATATGAGTTTTAAACAGTTCCTTAAATGTTTATAAGTAGTCCTTCAACAAGCAGTGGTCACAGCTTTGGCAGCTTCCTGGGGCTGTCACCTAATTAATTGTAAAGAGATTTCAGGGCTCAGTGGTTCAAATGGCTCATTTGGATTTAGAGCAAAATATGGATTTTTGTAAACTGTAAAATGCAGTTGGTGGCAGATCTATGAATTAAAAACAAAGTTAAGCCAAAGCAATTATTTTTACCAACAAAAAAAATTAATTCATGATTGACATCATACAACATCATTTTTGTCTAACGTACACAGCAGGCAGCAAAGAAGTGACGCCATGGTGAAGCAACACAGGCAAAGTGAAGGAATTATGTTGTAGAGTTAACATTAACCACCATTTACTGTGAAGGCAGTTACAACTTTGGTGGGTTAAAAAGCCAATAAGAGGGTCACTAGGTCCAGGTTGTTTCTCTAAGTTAGTTAATCTGATGAACTAGAGATAACTAGTTTTGTATTGCTGTTACTTGCAACTTAGACTCTTGACCACTGAAGCACAGCACAAAACATCATCTCATCTCTTTATTTTGACCAAAATATGGAGAATAGAATTCAGAGTTTTAATAAGCAGCAGTCTTTGTATTGATATAGTTGTCTAAAATCTCCCTAACACATCATAGCTGACCTTGAAGCAATCAGCATTTCTGATGCTCAGTAGTTTTGCTAAGAATTAAAACCATGTTGCCAAATAGGACACTGAATCTTTTTTTTAATGTGAGCCATGTAGGGATTTATTCCGATGTGTCATCAATGTGACATGCGACACCTGATTATGCTAAACCACCTACTTGCGCTGTGTTTTTCCCCCCCTCTCTTCTGTCTCTCTTTGTCTGTCTGTGTGCCTCCATTTTCATATCAGAGGTCAAACAAATCTAACATCGGGTTTAAAAGTTCAGGTCAGTCTCATACAGTCCAGGACTTTTGTGGAAGAGCTTTTTTTGTATTTCCTTTTTAGTATTTAAAGTGTAAAACCTCCATGGACTCGGATAATAAAGGCAGCCAGAGGGCCAAGTTCAATTTACTGAGAAATTCAGCTAAAAATAACTACATAGCTGTTTTGCAGAGAGAAGACATGCTAGGAACCATCTTTTTTTAAGTATCAGATAGGGGGGAAGGACAGAGCGAGGAAGGGGGAAAGAGACGGAAATGAGAGCGATGGAGAGGGAAGCTCGCCTCAGTTTGTAATCCAATCTCATCCTGATCCAAGCTGTTTGAAGTTCTATCAGGAGAAATAGGCTTTGATCATGTGGACCTAATGAACTCAAAGAGCAGAGAGGGGAAAAGACAGAGTGGAGTTTGGCTTCTGGGTTACGGCTCTATTCCCACTAATTGTCTGCTGGTTTAATGTAAATGAAATGTATTTAGTGAACAAATATTTAAACTAATGTACTATAAATAATCACTTCCTATATGTAGATACATTTCTTGTGTGTAAAAATATATAAAAACTTAATGTGTAAGTACTTCTGCTCTTGTTGTTTCTTTTTGCCTTTTGATTTGAGAATAAATTGCAGAAAATGATTTCATTGCATTGTCCTTCAAATTATCACCAATGCAGGTTAGTTTCAGAAGGAAAACTATGCAACCAGTTTCCAGTTTGTTGTATATCCCTAGTTTAAAAAAACACAAATGACTAATGCAGAATTAGTGTGTATTGAAACTGCATTAGGCTGTGAAATCATCTTCTATAACTCATAAGAAAAAGCGGACATAATAAAATTCTCAAAGGCTGCAGTCGTGTCAGATGGTTACACTTGAATGACAACCTAGTATATATTAGTGTGCAATAGCAGTTGTATTGTCGCGCAGGTCAACAGTGTTTGACCTCATACGGTCGAATGTCTTGCCGCTCGAAGATTCACTCTTTTGTTGAGCACTTTACTCGGTGATAAGCGAGTCCTGGATGCTGATTGGACAGTGTGGTGTCAGTCTCTCTTCCTTTATTGCCATCCCTCTCCCTGCCAAAAAAGATGATGTCACCCTTGTTACCATGGTACACAGTAGCACGAGAAGGAACATGCCAGAGAGAGAGGGTGAGGGGAGGAGCTGCAGCTGTGTTTCATAGGCCATGAAGCTTAACATACATGGAGGAATGGTGGAGGAACAAAGTCTTTTCATAGTCTTTAGGCTGTTTTTGCTGCCGCATTCTGAATGACTCAGTTTTAGTTTAAACTGGCTTTCAACCAGATTTTATGACCTTATTCATCTGAAGAAAAGAAGAATAAATATTTATAAGAATTCAGTTTAATGTCTAATGTCCTGCTACTTAGTACGTGTGTGTGTGTGTGTGTGTGTGTGTGTGTGTGTGTGTGTGTGTGTGTGTGTGTGTGTGTGTGTGTGTGTGTGTGTGTGTGTGTGTGTGTGTGTGTGTGTGTGTTTTGGGTTTTTCTTTTGGTTCTACAAATGCAGGAAGAATATTTCTCCAAAATCTAATCAATACTGATTGGTTTGTTATACAAAATAATTTGAAATGAAGGATGAACTAACAGTTAGCAAGTGTTTGTAACTAATTCGTTTTTATGTGAGTTGGACTAGGAGTTTTAGTGTAGGCCTTTCAGTGTTGTTTGGGTAAAGTCAGACAGATACATGAGGCAGAAGCAGTGGAAAGTCCCCATGCTGAGACAGAGCCAGTGGTAGTTTTCCTGATTCTCTTGCTCTAAACTCCCACTCACTGACAACTCTGTAGGCCTTCTGTACGAGGGATAAGGCTGCAGAGGGAGAAATAGTTCCCCCCCCACACACAAACATATGCAGAATCCATCCGCAACTATTTCTTTCAAAACATTCCTCACCAGATACTCCTTCTTTTATGCCAGAGGTTTGTGCCTCTCTCAGCAAACTGTATAAGTCAACAAAACCCCAGACACAGCCTGTAACGTTGTCATGCGGTAGACACCTTGTTTTAAAGTGGCAATACAGCAGTCACCTTCTGCTTTTAAATGCTATAATTTAGGCTAATTACTATAATTGACATTTATTTTACAGTAATCTTAGTAAAGCTAACCACGTGAGGTGACCACAGCTGCACAACTGTCACTCTAGTCTCACTTTTGAAAATGACAAAAGTGCAGGCAGCAGTTCTTTTGCAAACTTTCTAAGACACATTCTCCTAATGTTGTATTGCGTTTCACTTGATGTTTTCGTCTTTCAGAGTTTGTGTAGCAGTGGAGCAATCTCAAACTCATTCAGACTTCTAAATGATCGTGTTTTGGAACACGGTGTCAGCAGCACTAATAACCCTCTGTCTTGTCTTTCTTTCCTCCCTTGATGTCTTTCCTCCTCAGGTGAGGCAGCTTTAAGAGGAGACCCCAGACTCCTGTCCCTGTCGTCTTCCTCCTCGTCTTCATCATCGTCCTCCTCATCTTCCTCCTCCAGCCACAGGACGGGTCCTCCTCCCATCAGCCCCACTAAGAGGAAGCTGAGTGGTGATCAGGGGGACAGCGACATGGATGAAAACGAGCACGTGGCAAAGATGAGTCGACTGTTTGCCGCGCAGCTGTGAGTACATATACACATGCAACTGAACAACACACACATTCTAATAAAAAGCTTTATAAACATCTGGAGTTATAATTTCCAGATGCTCACTTTTTTATGAGTATCTGGAAATGAAAATGAACTTGTAGTTTGCTATCAGTGCACATTTCTCTTTCCTGTCCATCTGTCTCTTTCATATACAAACAAACACTGTAGCCAGTGAATGGCCATGTACACTGAACTGTTTTTCATACATGTCCAGAATGCATATTTAGAACCCTTGGTGCCTTGAGCCTTTAAAAGAAGTCAGTTTTTCCTGTCAATGCACGTGTTTCTGCCATCCATGTGTGAAACGGTGCACAGTGGCGCTATCTTAGAAGTCCTAGTTTGGACTCCAGGGTGCTATGCCAGGTTTAGCTCGCTCAACAGTGTTACAAACTCCTTATAGCTGCAGATCTCTGGAAGCTTGGAAACAGGGACTGCACAACAGAACGATTACTCACGTCGTTCCCGCATTCCCAATACCAGAGATTCCAGAGTCCTGGTTGGTGGTGGTGAAGGACTGCTGGGGCCAGGGGCAGTCGAGTCAGAGTCAGACATGACTGAGTCAGTTATAGGACTCCAGCCATTGCTATTTATTGCAGATGGAGTCAAGGGGTGCTGGGTAGAGCTGTACAGTTTTGCGTGCAGTATGTCAGTATGTCCAGATGCTGGGGGTAGGGGTTGGGGGTGGGGAGCGGAGCAGAAGTCGAACATATTTTTATAACCACAGCGCTGTCTGCCAAATGACTAGACAAGGGCTGTGCTATGACTTTTGGCTATACTTGTATATAAAATGATCAGTTTGAGAAAAGGAAGAGGGGCAGCAAAATTATATTTTTGCTTCTCATATGAATTTAAATTTAACAGCAGGAAACGACATATTCTATAAAATTAGGAAATATCCAAAGAGTGAGATATTCAAGCCCATTTCTGCCTCATGCAAAAATACAATACAAGTAATATGTGGATTGTTTTTATTCTTCTTGAAGTTTTCAACTGACACAATGGGATGCAGTAGATGAATGACTGGATATACTGGAAACTGGAAGAAGAGAGAATGGGTACAAGCATTGTTATTATATAGCTAAACTTATATAGTCACACACTTACATGTAGTACATGGCTGGCCCAAACAGGAATATCCCACAAGTGTCTGAGAATAGATGACTTGGAAACCAACAGATTTTAAAGGCAACCCTACAAAATGTTCACGTGTAGATAGATTCTATGGTTGCCCACCACCTGATTTTCATCATCAGTTAGTTTTAGCACCCGGTAGTTGTGAATACAAGTTACCGGAAAAATAAAAAATTTGTACCTCGTTTAGCTTCGCACTGATGCACTTGCTTTTTCTTTTGTTATGACTCCAGAGCATCGCTTTCCTTTACAACTGTGGCCCTTTTACCCCTCCCTAAAAAGCTCAAAGTCATTTCTCGCCATGCTGTGGCAGGTTTAATTCACCTCGAGCCAAGATGAAGAAAAGAGCCCTAGGGCAACAAGAGAGGTAAAACCAGTTCAGCTGTTTGGAAACACTTTGCTTCAGGGAGTCCAACAAGGAAGAGCGAATATAACCTTCAACAAATGAGTTTGTATGTCTGAAAAGTCAGTGAGTAAATAATGTTGATTTTAGGATTACATTAAATAGTTATGATATAATCGAGGAACTGGCCAAATAGTTACAATCGAGTTAAACAAGTTAAAATCTCAAAAAACTTTCTGCAGAAGTATCTCAAATTACTGGCACTGTTTTCCAACACTCCACAGTGCAGGTAAATGGAAAAAATTACACACTGGTGTTTGTGTATTTACTGATATTTGTGAAGCAATAATTGTTTGCAGAACCTATAGCAGCATACAGATAATGTCGTTTTATTGTCATGATTATTTTTATTTATTTATTTATTTAGACTAGGTTGCATCTGACTTTTGAATTAAGCTGTTCTACTGAGGCCGTGGGTAAGGGTCTTTGTTCTTTAATCTTGTGACACATAACAAAGGATTAGCTTGTGAGATTTGACATTTGTGCAGAATCATCATTTTTCCTGTTATTCTGTGGCAGTTGTGTGGGCATTAGGGTTATAGTCTGCAGTAAATCCAACCACTGCTTGTGGTATTATTCTGTTGTCTCTGTTGTTTTTCACTCCACGTGGGACATTATATATGCACTGTGTGGTTAACTTTTGCATGCATCGATACGTAAGTGCTCCTACTTGTGTATCACAAGTTTCGTAAGTCGGTGTTGTGCAGCACAGTAGAACTTATTGTTATATCAGCTTTCAGTTGGTGTCACAGATCCTCGCCACAGCTCCTACGTGCAACCATGTTGTTTGACTAGAATAAGGTTCTGTAAAAATAAAACTGATGCAAATGTCTGTGATGTTTAGGGCTTTTTAGACTGCTCGTTTTACCATGATTATTTCCAAGGCGCAAGCCATAATCCCCGTATTTAATCTCATTTTAATTATGACCTTGAAGTCATTTGACTCCTGCTGCTGCAGGTTAATCTCTACCTAACAAAAGTCAATTGCTACTTGACTTGCTGCAGCTTGAAGATGGATCCAGGGCCTTTCTAGTTCACAAAGATATTTTTTTTTTATCCTGGAAACCAAGTTCCCCTCGGGTCATCCCAAATGTGTCTTTTTTTAGTCATCTAATTTGAGGTTTCTCTGAGGGCATTCTTCCCCTGGTAACTGCTGTACGACTTGTTGAAACTTGTATCCAGCATCAGCCAGAAACACTTTCCTCCTAGGTGTAGCTCCCCTCCCTTTCCAAAGAACTTGGAGTGAAGTGGAAAATGATGGGATGTTGCTACAGAGAAAATTGAGCTAAAAATGCTCCTTAAACACCCTCCCCACATGAAAAACGACATAGGGCAGCCAGATTTTTAACATACATTCTGTTTTCCTTTCAGCTGTGCCATGTAAGGAGATTAATACTGTAATACAGTGCTTTTTCTACTCTTAATAAGTAAAGTACTTTTACACCGCATCTCTTATTCACCAATTCACCTTCACATTCATACAGCACTTTATTTTTTGCCCTTAATGGGTTTTTTTCAATAGAAAAATGAAACTCCACCCAAACCACACACAGAAGCAGTTCCCACGTCTTCTCTATCTGTTGGATTTTCCTGGCTGCTTCTGTCTGTCTGCTTTCTCTCTGTGTGCGTGTGTGTGCACTGATTGCTCAGCTCACTGTTGAGTGTCCCTGCCCATGCAGAAGCTTTTGTGTTCATTCTTTTTTCTGAAAAGTGTGGTTTTTTCTCTCTTTTTGCTCGTATTGCAGCTTTCCTCTGCTTTCCTCTGTGCTGACTTGTCGAGCTCCGTGTATTTGGCTTTCTTTTGTATTTAAGTTCAGTCATATTTTCTGTGAGCCTCAACACACACAGACACCTGACACCTCCGATTAGGGCGGGGCTATGAAGGGGGGATGCTCAAGTTTCCTCTGTTGGCCAATCACTACGAGCTAAAGTTAGGGGGAGGTGCACAGGCAGTGGTGAGAAAAAGTAAACTCTCTGAACCAGCTGAAGCTTTTATGTTTGTTTTTATGAACATGCATGATAAGTGAATGCATTTTGCTTTTGTCGGCTGCCTGTGTGTTTAAGAATGTGGCCGTAAGTATGTTTTTCTCAGCAGGCTTATTGTTTTAATAATATCTTCCTTTTTTTGTTGTTGTTGCTGTAAGTCCCAATGAAAACAGACTCTTGCAACACAGAAGGGTTTTTGGCATTCAAAATCCTGAATATTGAAGTCTTAATAGAAATAACTGCCAGTGCTTATATGTCGCCCTAGTCTACAATTATCCATCGGTTTGTGCAGGCATGCACATGTGCTGTTGTCTGTGTTGTTTACACATGCATGCGTGCTCTCCTACCTGCGATCATCTGAGTGCTTGTGTGTGTGTGTTTCTGTGTGGGGTGAGGTCAGGCAACAGGGGCTACTTTTTCATTTTCTCTGAGTAGTAGGAGGAGCCTTGAACAAAGAAGCCTTATCCTGTCCACTGGAGCCTGCGGGCTGGAAGCTTGCTCCTGCCTGTGTGCCTGCCTGCCACTCTGTAGTTGTAGACTCGCCAGTATGAGAGTCCTTAACAGTTTCATTGCTCCTTGAGACTAAAAGCCACTGACATAGTTTTTGCATTGACTGTAGTTTGGCGAATTTAACTACAGGAAAGTTTATATTCAGCAGTCAAAATACATTAGACTCATTAGGTACTAGTTTGCTTTTTGTTGTTTTTTTGAAATACCATGAAAATCTGTTGGTTCTGTGAATGCGCCAATAAAACATGAGGACCTTGACTAATGCAAACTATGTCTGGTTAGTCACTGGTTGGAACAGATATTTGCTTTTCATGCACTTGATAATAGTTCTGAATTTCCATTTCTCTTCACTCTGTAGAATTTTAACCACCGGTGAAAATCTGAAATGAAAGCCTGAAGATCTGCAGTTGCATTCATGCTACATTATGCTGAAACAGTATACAGTATTACAGTTTACTCCAAATGTACGGCTGTATCTATAGGCACTAAATGCAAAATCCAAGTAAATCACATTGCTGCACAGAATACTGTAGCTTACAGAAACCACAGCTGCTTTCTACTGGGAACTTCATCAGTAAGTTGTTCTCATGGAAGTTTCTCTAGAGGCTATATGGGGAGAAAATAAGAGTGGAAAGAGGCTGTGTGTGTGTGTGTGTGTGTGTGTGTGTGTGTGTGTGTGTGTGTGTGTGACTGAGTGTGTGTGGCTGGTGAAGTCATTGTTACCCTCTTGTTTTACATGAAACTATTTATGTAGCGAGCATGTGAGGAAAGGAGGGGAGATGTGGGTTTTTGTTTTTAGCTGTGTGTGTCTATGTGTCTGTGTGTGTTCACATGTTGTTTTCTTTGCCTTCTTGTTGTGGTTGTTCCCATATCCGATCTGTCCCAGCTTTGATAACAAAGGATTTTCTTCAGTTCTCTGTCTCTGCAGTCAGTTAACTGTCAAAAATGTGCTGTTTCTATCAGTATTTCTGCATGATTGACAATCTGAAGGCTCCAGCACCAGCGTGTAGAGAGCAGTGAACAAGCTAGTCTTTGGTTTAGAATTGAAGTGTTATATATCATTTGTTTCAGCAGATATTTGATTAAAGGGCATTTCCTCTGGGCTTTGATCCTAAAGGATGCAGATATTTTTGCTAACTTCCGCTCACACCAGCTACTAAAGACTTCAAACAGCAGAGTAAACGGTGTTGAGATGTTTGTATACTATATATACATAGTCTGAATAAGCTCTGTGGCTCACAGTCTGTGAGTGTGTATGTGTATGTATATCTCTTTTTTGTGGTTTTGTGTAGAACTTGTAGAGCTTGGTTCTGGTTATAACCTGTGGTTAGCCCTTCATCCTCTTCCACTTCTTTTTTTTCTTTTTGTTGTCTTCCCTCTACACCCTGATTCTTCCCAGATGTTTCCTGTGTGTATCTCTCCCCCCCTCTCTCGTCTTGCTTTTTTTTAAAAATGCATTTATTAAAGAGTTGGATATGAACCTCTGCCCAACCAAAGATTTGTAGGGAGGTTTTCTCTAAAGACCTTGGAACACAATTGTGAGAAAAAGCCTCGAGCTTTTATAGCTTCTGTCTCGCTGCCTCATAGTCAAATATAGCAAATTCACCAAACTGGCAGTCTCATACAGGATTAACCCTGGCACACTTTGAAAAAGAACCCATATTTTTAAAGTTCTTGGTTCATATGTTTCTATTTGTTTTATGTAGTTTACTGTCGTGATTATTAGGGCATGTTAGCTCAAACAAACTTGCTTTTCTAGCCAGCATGAACTAATTACTTGTCCACCCCCCCCACCCACCCCCCAGATCATTCAAACACATGATCGCAGTATGATCTTTAACTTGAGGTTGACTTGCGGGCCGGATGTCATGTGAGTGGTTACTTAAAAGGCTATGCTTAATGATAGATCTGAGTAGTGTAACATTGTTAAAGATATATGAATATATCATTTATGTATTGAGGGTTGGACTCTCTGGGTTTTAAATTAAGGGATCTTTCAGTAGGTGCCCACCACAGTGACTACCACTAATACCAGGCTGCATATAACCTAGCCTGCAGTAAAATACAGCCAGATAGATATTTTCTCTGTATTTCATTTCTCAAACAGATCATTTTGATGTCCTTTACATCATTCCTATTTACAAAGTAAATCAACTGAAAAAAGGGATCAGAGACGTTAGAAAAAGATATGACTGAATATTCTCACATATTCTGACTGAGCTCTACGTTTAAAAAGCTTTAGTTTGGTTTTTGTAGTTTGGCCAGTTTATCTAGGAAACGTCACTTTAGCAAACATTTTCTGCCAATTAAGAGGAATCCTGTCATCACACTGCTGGTGGTAAGAGCTCACTTGTTGTTTGTAAACTGCTTTCCTTCATGTTTATTTATACGTTATTGGATTTGGGCTTCCTTTACTCTCTGTTTCCAACCTCACCCCCTTCTTTTTAAAAAAATGCTGTTTGTCTCCCAGTGCCCACTGTAGGGGCCAAGTCTCTGTGTTATTTAGTAATCAAAGGCTGCCCCCCCTCTCTCTCTCCCACTTTTAGCTCCCATCTATCCCTCTTGTCCTGGCAGCCTGCTCTTTTTAGCTGTAGCCCTTTTTACCGCTCAGTGGCCATGTTTCATGTGTAGCCCTTGCCATCTACCCTGTCCGTCCTCTCCCTCCTTCCCCAGCTGTGACCTTAATGATAATTAAGAGGTGAGTAAGAGAGACAAAGGCACAGAGTGGGTTTTGAAAGCCTGATCTCTGGCATGAAATGTGGTCCAGGGTTTGGTGGGCAATCAGGCGAGGGGAAGGCGGGGGCGGCGGTGGATTCGACAGCTATTCCATTCATTGGTCAGATTTGTTGATCCCATTCACTGGCTCCTGCAATGGGCCCTCTTGAATGAGGATGTGGGCATGCCTGCTCTTTGGCAGTGATTAAAGTTTGGAACAACTTCCACAACCCAACTCAAGACCCAGCTGCTGGGAAGGGATGAGAGAGCTTTGTTATCTGCTTGGCTCTTAGCTAATCAAGAGATTGTTTATATTTGAAAATAATAGAGAAATTATGCAGGGGGACCTTTCTTTATATTGTCTGATTAAAAGTGGATGTTTCATGTAGTAATAATTTAAACAATTTATTCAGTTGAATAGGCTTTAGTTTTAATTATGACCTGATTTAAAGGGATCAGCTCCAGAATGTATGTTTTTCTTTGTACTGTTCAAAAAAAAAATGAAGATGAAATGGAGAATTGATGCCACTGTGAAAGAACAAAAAAAGCTTGTTGGTGAGCTGTCGGCCAGGGTTTATGCAAGCACTGCCAAGTCCTTTCCTTCTTTAACCCTCAGGAAGTTTGCTGCTGATTGTGAGAAAAAGGGGAGGAAAAAAAAGAGAGCGGGTCTCCGTGAATGTAAGCTCTCGGCACAAACGAAGGAAACTACTGACCTCACTCTTTCTTAAAGTCGAGGTCCCGACCATTCACATGCAACTCACCCTTCCCCACCTCTTCTCGGCTCTTCCTCTCCCCCTTTATGTATTCTGTGTAGATTGTTTATTTGTGGAGGACTGTGCCATGGACTCCAGATGCTTGACCCAACAGTCAGGTTGCTTAGTCACATGGATCTACAACTGCTTTCTTGAGCTTGTTTTGCAACTTAAAGGGCTCCTGCAGCCTTTTAACTTGTGTGGGTTAGGAAATGCCCCTGCATAGTATTCGGTGGAGAATGAGGAAGTTATATATATTAATCGATGTTCGCTTGAGTTCAGTATTATTTCTTGCAAATTTAATCAAGCCTGCATGGTTTGTGTGTAGCGTATTCTGTGTAGGAATGAGCAAGTCGATGTCTCTATCTGTGAATGGATTATGGAGTTGGGGAGAAAAGGAGAGACAGAGGCGAGTACAGTAAATCTTGCTCCCTGTAGCTGGGCCTCAGTTTGTAAGAGGGGAGTGAACCGCACACACGGACACACACCCACAAACACAAAAAAAAAAAAAACACAGAGCAAATCTGATCTAGGGACCAAAACAATTACTAACTTGTTAAACTACAACTCAATGGTCTTTAGTCGCAGACACTTGTTTACATCAGACATATCACAATCATTATTGTCAGAGCTGGAAGAAAGCCTGTTTTCTTAAACTGTTGTTACTTTAATCCCTTATCCTTATCTGTTTTGCAGTGATTAAAATATGAGCTCACTGCTTGGTGATAACAGTGCTGCTAAATAATTCCCTTTCATATGGAAGGTGCATGGCTAACCTCCTTTTACCTCCATTAATCACTTCATTGTTGTAAGTGTGGACAGGGAATAAAACTCAAAGAAAGGATGTTTAGTGACTTTAATTGAATGTTGAGTGACATCAGCCTGCATCTATGCTCCGTTAGTAGTTTTCTTTTCTTTTTTTAAATTATGACTGCAGTAAGTGCAGCTTGCCGAAGAGATGAAGTTGATTTGCTTTGCTGGGGAAACCTCTCAAGAGCTTTGAACTTTGTGCCCATTTGTCCCTCCTGTGTCGAGATAAGTTTGGAGTCTATCCATGTTGGATAAAGTTAGGAGAGTGTTCCTTCCTCCATCTGAGGACAGTGTGTGAGCCTGTGTTGGCACCATATGGTCTTATCAAACCCCACCAGCAATCTGAGAGCTAAGGCTGTGTGTCCATGAGAGTGTGTATTTGTTAGACCAGTATTAATAGCTTTTGCCGTTCCTGCTGACACAGAGCACCATTTACAATTGTCCTTTTATAATCTTTATTTTTTTCCCCCCACGTCACATTCTCCCTGTCTTAGCTGAACTCCTTGTGATCTTTCTGTCTCTTTACTTCTTGGCTTTTTTTTTCTTTGCCCATTCCTTACATCGTTTGTCAACACTCTTTGCACGTCATGTTTACTTTTCATCTCATCCCAAACACCAAATATTGTGTTTTTGACAACCTTGGATCGTTATGTTTAAGCTCCAAATGTCTTCTCTTATCATTTTAATTATGATACTGGCTTCAGAGTCAATTTAGTGCTAGCAGACTCAGAATACACATGAATTAAATAACACTATCCAGTGTGCGGGATGAATAACGTGCGTTTGTTTTTTGGCTACTTGGCTGTTCCTCAGGAAACCTAATGGAGATTATCGCAGCTCTCCTGGCTCCAAGGACCGCAGCAGGAGCCCCATCGAACGTGTGGTGGTGCCGGGTGCTCTGGGAGTGCCGAGCAACCACATGTACAGCCACCCCCATCACCTCCACCTGGCCAGCTTAGCTACCATGGACCAGCCACTGGCACTTACCAAAAACAGCATGGTGGAGTCAGCACGCAGCAACACAGCAGCTATGGCTAAAGTGCTGCACACAGTCAGCACTGTGGAACGCCAGCAGGTAACATACCCGTCCTGTCTTTGGCTCTAATGCGCACCACATTTTTCTTAAATTGTCGAGTGAAACCTCAACTCTGGTAGGTCCCCCACATGATGTGACTAATATGCTTTCATTAACCTGCCTCCTTGGTTGGTGGAAAGTACACATTTCCTATTTGGCTTGTTTGCAAACCATGTTTTAAAATCCTGGTGGTCACTGGATCATTCCTGCGGCCTCAAACTTAAAACGTCTTTTCATTTTCTCCATCTTTTCTGAAAAGTTGCTGTTCTGTTCATTTTGCATTTACTCTGCTTCTTTTAACACGCTTTAGCAAATTGCTGATCGGCAATCATAAGACTGAATTCGACATTTAACACAGACTCTTTGTGTTTCAGAATCGTCCCTCAGTGATCACATGCGCCCCAGCAAACAACCGCAACTGCAACCTGTCTCACTGTACAGTCTCCCACAACGGCTGCTCCAACTTCACCAATAACTACAGGAGAAGCAACAGTGAGTACACGTTTGCAAATGCATTTGCAACAGCAATGCGCACCCCAGAGAGAAAACAGCTCATACTCTCCACGTTCAGATGTAAATGTATTGTAGTAATGCTAGGGTTCTTCTGTTTTTATAACGAAACCGTTGTTATGATAGCGTTTAAACATACTTAATTACAATCTTATCTGTTATCTCTGTACCCACAGAGTCACTCGAGGCCTTGGCCAATAAAACATTTGTTTTCTTTTTCCTTCATGTTTTCTGTGGGTTTTTATGATCCCAGTGAAATCTCTATGATCTCATTGAGGTTAACAGTGATTAAAATGCTGATTTAAAAAGAAAACCTGCAATAAAAAAGTAAACTCGCATGCACATTAAAACAAATTGCCTGCTGACCATTTCTTTGTATTTTAGTTTTTTTTGTTGTTTTTTTAACTAAAATTGTAACTAAAACCCTTTTTTTTCCTCTTCTTCTTGCATAAGCCAATACAGTGTGCGACCCTGTGATTGAGGAACATTTCCGTCGCAGCCTTGGGAAAAACTACAAGGAGCCCGAGCCCACCGCCACCAACTCGGTGTCCATCACGGGCTCAGTGGATGACCACTTTGCCAAGGCGCTCGGCGAAACCTGGCTGCAGATCAAAAACAAAGGGAGTCCCTCGTCATCTGGCAGCAGCCCAAACTCCTCCCCTGACAGTCGCATGGTCAATCACAACCACTCCCCTTCTGTCGTCTCCTGAAGGGGGTGGATAGACCCCAGTTTTCCCGATCCTTATCCTGGCTCTAACATCCATGCCCCCATCACTTTGGTCTGTCACCAGCATCCCAGAGGGAATGCTTGTCTGCTGGTCTGCTAAAAATATCTAAAACCCTCAAGCCCGCTCTCTCACTGTGCACTCATAGAGGATCAATCGAGCAATAACAACACAGTCATTTTTCCCATCTGTCCTCTGGTATGCTAATGCCAGACAATCAGTAATGAGTGATGAGGGTTTAGCCTGGAGCTTAGGTGGAGCATGAGCTTGCTCCTTCCAGTCATACATCATCCTGCATGTCAAGCTTGGAGCTGAGCAAGTGTCTGTAGTTATATGTAAATACGGAGAGAACGGAAAAGGAGGTGTTTTAATTGTTAATTTTTTTCTTTTCTTCTTTGTTGTTATTTTTCTTTAACGGTAGTTTTGTGTACTTGCTTCTGCGTTATGCGATGCCCGACGTTTCAAAGGAAAGATGAGCGAGAAACACTTTGGAGAAAATGAACATAAACCACCTGACTGTTCTACCAAAGAAACCTCAGACGCTGATGTTTATCCATGCCCACCTCGGAAACAAAACAACAAAAAGCCATCTTGCAATCACCTCCCTCTGTTTTTATCTCCTTTCATCCTCTCACCTGCCTTCCCCCCCCCCTCACTTTTCCTCTCTCTCTTCTGTGTATGTGTTCTCGTGGTTTTGTTACTGTATGTGTATACTTTAGTGATCGACTCGGTCTGATTTGCACTACTGCCGTAGAGAGTAAAGGGTGGCATGTCATTTTGCGATCTGGCACTGAACACACTGGGACGGACGAGGCTGACTTTGACACGATGGCATATTATTCCAACTTTTGTTGGAATAGCCATTTTTGCATCCCATCAACTCCTCTCTGAAATCTACCCGTGCACATTTCCACCCCAGCGCTGGTAGAAAAGTGTGAACAAGGTCATTATCCATTATTTATTGAAAGCATTTAGGAAAATGTAAACACGCCTTTATGGCGTTGGGCAGTAGACGCATGACTCACAGCAAGCTTTTGACTTTTGAAACTTCAGTAGTGAAGCTGTTAGCTGAAAACACACACATAGGTGAAAAACAGACACCAGCACTTCACTAAGGAGTGGTTATATTGAGAGCTGCAAGTATTAATATAAATAAAGAGAAAAGTTATTGGAGGGACTTAAAAATTTACCATCCACCATTAGTCACCAAACCGCTACATCATATTGTGAGAACAAGGTTATAAGTAGGTTGAATTAAACACTAGAATTGCAGCTTGTAGATTTGGTCTAATGTGGCCATAAGATGTGTAAATATGAATGTTTGTATGTGGTTTATACAGATACCTAAAAAGCAAAAGACCCCTTGGTTTGATCCTGGTCCTCTGGTATCGGCTCTACGCACATCCAGATTCTTATTTAAGCAGCGCTGATTTGTATCGAACAATAAAAACTGTTGGCTTTCAGTTTAAGAGCACAGTCAGGTTAAAAATGAAAAAACCGCCAGCTCCTGTGATGTTCATGGCCATCACAACCGTAATGAGAGGAGATTAGGGTTGAAAACACTGACCGAGTGTGTTGAAGGCTGGGCTTTGCCGAACGACGTGCTTTGATGTGTTTCACGGGCTTAACTGCTGACAGTGATGAGGGGATAGATGACGCTGCACGTCACTTTGTGGTTGAAAGAAAAAAAGTCTGGTTTCTCGACCGGGGGAGAGAAGATTTTTCAGATCTCTTCAAACACACCTTTGTTTTTGTTGTTTTTTTTTGGGGGGGGGGGAGGGGGGGTTTGGTCTCTTTGATCGTGGGTGCAGTAATTATATTTGGCATACACCCTGCTGTCCTTCCCTCCCTCTCCTACACACTGTGGTTTGGTAGATTTCTACAAGGTTTTAAGGGTAAATTAATGCATGTTGTTTTGTTTTTTTTGTTTGTTTTTTAATAGCTGGTATCTATTAGTGTTTTTAGCATTTCAAACATAACTTTTATTAGCCTTTTCATTCAGACGTTAGTTGTTACTTCTTTCGTTGTCAGTAACAGACATAGACACTATACACTCACTGCTGGGTCAGTTGTACTCCATATTGTTATTGTTATTATTACAATTTTGTATTTTTTTGTTTTGTTGTTTTCCATTACTAGCAGTATGGTAACAAACATCTATAGTGGGACAGCCTCCGGACAGGCTCTGTTAAATGATGAGAGCAATGTTTCCTAAAATCATCTCAACCCAGCAGGCGATCAGCTCATCCCCGCAGCAGAGTGACGATCGTCTTGGGGTTTAGTTGGGTTTGGGATCCAAAGCTCATTAAGGTTTTCTTAAGATGTTGATCCATCAGTGGTACAGGATGCTACAAACGTCAGCTTGACTGAGCTGAGACACCACACAAACAGCAAAAAGTCAGCGGGGTCTTGTTTTCTCCAAAAGCATCTGAGCATCTAGCCTGTTCAGCTGCCATCTTAAAGTCACCTTGGCAGGCATTGGATGCTTTTGGGAAGCAGGGTTTGTTTACAAGAAGAGTTGGTTCGCGATGGCTCTCAAACATCTTGTTGACGCATAAAAGTGTCTTAAAGTTACGGCACTAAAAAGACCACATTACGGAAATAGCATTGGCAGACCTAGCAGAGAGACGCTAGAGAACAAAACACTTGGCTGATAATTAGTTATCTGAATTTATGGTGTGACGTTTCACCTCGCTCAACCTCCATCAGCTGACTTTTTGTGTTCCGACTTGGTGTCTAGACCTTTTTTATAAATATATATATAAATACATATTTCTCTCTTTCTTTTCTGAACTCAAACTAGAGTGCTGCAGTCTAAGGAAATGAATTTTACTCTGCAAAGCAACCTGCGCCAAGGTGGCATACATTCCTGCTGTAGGCAACTTTGTACAGGCCTCAATGCATTCGCTATCTTTATATCAACAGGCGGAGCTAATAAGTAGTGAGGGCTACTTGTCCCCATCCCCTCCCAACAACATCTCTCGAATTAAAAGGTGCCCCATTTGCCTTTTTTAAGAAATAAATTGGCCATAGTGAAGAATAAAAGATAAAGAGAGTAAAGGAAGAATGTAATTTTAATTTTTGAGGACATTTAGTGGTCTGATTTAGAGAACTTGGGGTCTTACTAGCAGTCAGTGAAAACATTACTCACCCTGCATTAAAACTACAGATTGACTTAAAGTCTCTGAGCTAAGGCAGATAGGTGGTGAGGTTTTGATTCGTTGGCTTTGTGTAATTTGTGTCAAGAATGGCAAGTACGTACATTAGAGTTCTGTACCGTGTTCGAAAGCGTCTACACATTCCAGTCTCAGCTATCAGACCCTAGAACTAGATGATGGAAGTTCTACAATGTTACCCGAGATTCACATTTAACTGGAGTTCTGTCATGTACTTGTGCTTTCTGTGACCAGTTTCGAGTGGATTGGGTTGGTGGTTTTTCGCAGGCAGAGTGTTGGGGCGGGAGGCTGAGCTTTCAGAAGCTGAGCTTTTGTAAGCGCGACCTGTGAGTCAGGACATGTTCACCTGCCACTCAGCGTTGCCTCTCCCCCCACCTCTCAGATTCAGTCAGCCTGTATGCAGTCAGTAACATCGGAACACGAGGGAAATGGACTCGGTGTCCAGAGGATTTTGTTTTTCTGTTATTCTTTATCGTTATCATTTCACTACCACCCTGTAGGTAGGCTCTCTTTATGCTTTGGCACACACTCCCTACGCACTGTAGGAAAATCACTTAATAAAAAAATACTTTTTTATAATAGGTAAACTATAAGACCATCATTACGCTGTGCGTAACGAATGTACAGAGAAAAAAAATCGTAGGTATTTTTTGAGGAACAATGAATTTGTTAATGATATGTAGCTATTTAATTGTTTTTTCCCTGTCCTTATATTGTAATCATTGCATTTTCTTTTTTTTGTGAAAAAGTTGATCTTTTTTGTTTATAGAGTTTGTCTTGTTAGAGTAAAGGTTCAAGTGCAGGAGCACAGAAAACGTGTGAAACCACAGTAAGCCACAGGTGTGTCGGTGACAATCGCTACTTCCATTGGTCCCCATGGTGTTCGATCATGTGACTTCAGAGACATTTGAACAAGACTTACCAGTAAGCCAAAACAAAGTTTGTTTTGCGGGCCTTTTGAGCAATTTGCATGTTTTGTGTTGTTGGAAGATTTTGCCTCTAGCCCATTCTGTCTTGCTTGCCATTTCCAAAAGAGTTCATTTTAAAAATATAAGCAAAGTCCCCATTAGTCACGGGCTAGCAGGCAGGTACAATTTCAAACAGCACGTAAGCAATAGCATTTTTTTTTCATGACTTTTTTCATCTATAGATGGGAAATGAGTGAAGTAAAACTATCAGTCAGCATTTGTTGAATTTGCTGTTGGAACTGATGGAACTGTAGATTTGCGCTGCGGATCATCTGCTTTGGTGCCAGTCAGCGAGGCGTAGATGATCTAAGAAGCAAATTAGTTCTGGGGATGTCACTCCTAAATATGTCACCACAGTTTCCATCTGTTGAAGTCGTTTTGCATTCTTAATCAAGTTAACATGAAAATCGAACAAATAAATCAAAGAGGAGTCGGTCTTTACTCGGACTGCACCACATTTTCCAGGTCTTTTTTTGAAGTGGAAGTAGCATGTACTTAATGGTAGTAATACTCTGAACTGTAATAAAATTTCTATCAAGATTTGTGGCTCTGTGTCTCCTACTTAAAAGGTTTTGGCAGGCCACCTTTTTTGTACGTTAAAGTAGCCTTGATGAACAATAAAGTGCTTTTAAACCACAGTCTGACTGTGTGGGTTTCTGTCTTGTAATTGTTTGGTGTGTTTGTGCTTGTGAAATGGTTACGAGAGCGGCAAACAGCTTTTTGGAAAGACTGAGCTAAAATAAAAAGGACATTGTTGCATAGCGACATAAACCTCACAGATGTTAATAGAGAAATAATGGATTTTATTCCAGTTTTTTTTAATACAGAAGAGAAAAACAGCTCCGAGATTAATCAGAAAACAAACCAGATCCTTTCTCATGATTGAAACTCGAGTCAGTCTCAATCACTTTCATAAATATCCAAGCATTTGTTAAAATGTACATGTGAATACACTGAATACATCACTGCAGATGAGACTTCCAGGACAATGCAGAGGAAGAAATAAACACAAAAAACATAGTTACACAAACATGTACATGCATCAACACCAACAAACCAAGAGCAACAGTTTCCACAGTTCTAATTATATCTCAGTAACATCTGTATGCAAGTCCTCTCTGAGTGAAAGCTTCATAGCAACAAAGCTGGTTTAAGCATCACTTCTACTGTACGTGTCACAGCCTCTAATCAAAAGACCCCAAAAATGGATGAATCTGCAGAACTGTATTTTATTTCCAAAACTTATCCGAAGCTCTTTCTCAAACTGAATAAGTGAACAGATGTTGTAACTGCCTTGCCAAAGATCTCTCCAGTAAAATCATTAAATGTGTTGATGCAGAGACCTTGGGAGGGGATTGAAACTGTGGCACTTCAGAGAGGTTTCTTGGTGTTTTTAGACTCTTTAGTTCCAATATTTTTTGCAGGTTTTGTTGTGTTTTTGTTCAGGGACTTAAAGTGTGTTTAGACAACAGCAGGTGACAGGAACAGGTACATTCTTTAGTAAGTTCAACAGTTTTACATATCAAAAGCAAAAAAAAAAATCAAAACTTGTTCAGGCTTTCAGTTATTGTTTTGTTGTCTTTTTCTTAATTGCTTATTAGATTACTTCCCAGCTCTGAAGATCTGGGCCATCTTGAATCCAAATGAGGACTATTAGGAATTTTAAAGCTTTTTAAAGCCTTTTTAAAGCATTTATTTATTTATTTGCTCATGTGCTTGGTGCTCATTACGTAAACAACCTTGTCTTTGTAAATACAGGATTTACTTTAGAAAAAAGAAAGTATGGATGGATGTGTTTAGTCCTTCTGAGTGCTTGCTCCGCCAGTTGTTCAGATGCTCTCATCGTCGCTCATGTCCCAAATCTGATGAGAAAGAGACAAAAAACAGGAAAAGAAAAAATCAGCAAAGGCAAAAAGAGACAAAATTAACACATCAGTTATGTTTGTGTTTCCAGAACAGTAAGTGAGCAAAGATATTTTAAAATGTCTCTTGCTGAAGTCCACTTGCTAGCGTGCATTGCCATTTGACCATATTGCAAAGCCTAGCTGCACAACCACCACTGATTGTTGACCAATCGTAATCATGGACACATTTAGAGTTTCTCACAAGAACAACAAGCTATGGTCCAAAACAAATATGAGGAATTGAAAACTAAGAAAAGCTGGAAAAACTGCCAACAATGTGAATGTTTATGCTTCTCATCACTTCAGTCATCTGTGTACCTGACAACAGCGAGTAGCCTACTTATGTCTATGAACGCATTCATTCAGCAAGACATTAACACAGGATGGGTAATTAATTTTCCCAAGCTAAGCTAAACTCGATTCTGCGTGATATCAATTTGATCTCTTTTTAAGACATTGGCGTGGCCCTCCACAACAGTCCTGCTTTTTCATGTACACTAAGCAGATTTATTTCCCCAATAATCTGTTTAAAATATAAATGGAGATAAATGGAGTACCAGGAATTACATGCCCCAAAATTATAGTGCAACTTACACGAAACACAATTATGTCAGAAATGTGATGCAACTCCCACATTTTCCGGAAGTGACGCAATAAAAGACACAAACACACATACACACACACACACACACACACACACACACACACAGCTGAGCAACTTCTTCTGCATGAATCTGTCAGTAAACAACAGCGGCCTTCACATGGCAGCAGAAGTCTTCACATTCTTCCTCTGTCAGACGTAATTCGCATACCTCTGACACTTTCTGGAATGTTACACACACAACCACAAATACACGCAATTCTGACACACACACACACACAGCGTCCTCTGAAAGCACGGCTTCGCGGCTTTCAGCGCTGAAACGTGAAATTCAGGGAAGAAGCAGAAATCCAACACGTTCAAATGGTTTTTAAGTGAAGCAGAGTCTCTTTGATTATCACCTTGAACTCTATGAAGGTCATTCAGAACAAGGTCACACAAGAGCAGTTGCAATGAAATTTTATTTGGTTGGTTATTATTATTATTATTTTTTTTAATCATATATAAATTCAATAAATATGTTTTTTATTGTTTCATTTTATGCTTTTATTTTATTTTCGCTGTTGCATGATCAACTATGTTTAAATTAATGGTCAAATTTACATGAATAAAAATTAACAGCAATTATTACACCAACAGTGTAATAATTATTGCACCTGTCCTTTAAGTAGGATTTTCTATGTCAAAGAGAAGAGAGACTATACATACAGACATTATACAGAAGCCCACCCCACAGTAAGGGTGAATGCTCAGCACTGAGGGCCAATGGCTTTGCCACTTCTACTTAAAATATGTCATCAATAGTATACATAACAACTTAGCTACTTACACTATACATTTAGATTTGGCTGGTTTATGTGAAACAATCAATGTCATACACCAATTTACTGCAAGCGTAACCCTCCTGCACATTTTCCTCATTAAAACAGAGACTGACCTATTTTAGATTCTGACAAATGTCCAGAGATTGTGTTCTTAGATGATCCACCGAGGGGAAACATCTCTCACAGAAATGGATGCAAACAAATAAATCATTCCTGATGCCTTGTAGCTTAACAAAGGTGTTGGAGTTGTATCCAAGACAACATCATCCCGGTGTGAACATCAGCAGGTTTATTACTGTGTGAATGCAATGAAATATATTTTCTCGCGGTCAGAACATTCTTGTTTAAATTACGGTTGTTGGAATAGTTAACATTTAGGGAAATGCACTATTATTGTTGTTTTTTGTGTTACTCCACTGTAAACACAGATAGCTTAGCATCTGCAACTGGAGAAACAGACTGGCTCGGTCACTTGGGGAAAAAAGGCTCCGCTTTAAAACTGTGTTTAATGTGTGTCAAACAGAGACGCAAAAACATGCAGCTTGTGTGTTGTGGCTGATGTTTTTTGCTCTAACTATTGCTTGACCACCAACGGTTTAGCCTTCCACCTAGTAGCCTTTGTGCAATCAGCTTGTGCAACAGCACGTCTCTGTTTGGTACCAAACCTGGCAACGTCACCATTTTGGAGATTTTGACACGGCTAAAAGCGTCAGCTTCATGTCTGAATGAGCACTCGGGGGTCACTTTTTCTAAAAGTCACTGCAACAGTATTTTGAGTAACTTTCAGGAGAAGTCTGAACCGCATGTTCAAGTAACCCCCTCCACCCCTCCCCAAGAGGGACATCAAATCCTGATAGACAGAATCAGAACAGAGCAGACTGATCAAACCACGAGAGCGTCACCAACCAAAGACCAGGTCTAAAAGTGTTTTCACACTTTGCAAAGAAACAGTTTTCCCTCTCCTCCCTACAAGTTAAGCCAGGCTTAGCACAGCTTGTCTCCAGCTATTAGCAGCCCAGGATTAGTCCTTTTTTTTCACCTTACTACAGACAGAAAGATTAATAACTGTAGTTAGATTTACTTGTATGTAAATCCCCCCATTTTAAACATCTTAACTGCCAGAGGACACCAGCTTTACTTTAATAAAGAATTTATTGATACCTGAAGGAGAAAGTTCACATTTAAATCATGAGCAGTTATAAATATGGGCCACTGAGTTCTGTTTTGGCGATGCTATACTATAGTCTCTTTGAGCCAGATTCCTCCATTATTTTTCTTTCCTCCTCATCTGACTCTATTTAAACAAGAATATTTCAGTGATGCTTTTACTTTAGCTTTTCCTGACATACCTGCTTTGACAGGAAGTAGCGTAGGTAGTGCTACACACAGTAAGGACCGCAGGTGCTCCTGCGGCTAAAAATCATGTGTGCCAGCAGAAAAAGCTGCCCAACCTGTTCCATAGCAGCTCTGCCACTACTGAATATATGGTCTTTAAAAAAAAGACAGAGTGTAGCACCAGAGCAATGCTAAGTTTTCACAAAGCTTTTTTCCCCCCTCATAAACTAAGTGTGGAAAATCAAAGACAAATTTTTATGAAAGCTGGATTTTCTGCACTTCTGCTCCACTGCTGCTGGGTAGCAGCCATCAAAAGGACAGCAAGCAAAGAGCTCTTTGAAAGGGAGTGACACTGGAGCCCCTCTCTGGATGGCTGCCATGCCACACTGATGGCGAGTATGTGGGCCTGTGTGAAATCTTTCCCGCAAAATGGAAAGGGGGGTAGAGGTAGAAGAGTGAGGGAGATTTTTTTTTGTGTGTGTGTGTGTGTGTGTGTGTGTGTGTGTGTGTGTGTGTGTGTGTGTGTGTGTGTGTGTGTGTGTGTGTGTGTGTGTGTGTGTGTGTGTGTGTGTGTGTGTGTGTGAGAGAGCCTTATGTAACACGAATAGCTCCAGCAAACTGAAGCCTACAACTTACTACACTCTTTCGAGCTCAGCTGAATACTTGGGATGTTTCTCAACCATTGGAAGCCACCTCTGTTGCTGCAACACATAAGCAGATTTCTGTAAAGCCAAGATCAAAATAAATCACTTCTCAGCTCTGTCCAATTAGGAAACTTATTGAAACCCAAACTCCTTCTTGCATCATTCACATGTACAATCACACCTGTTCAACTGCTTGTTAACGCAAATATCTACTCAGCCAATCACCCGGCAGCAACTCAATGCATTTAGGCATTCAGATGTGATCAAGGAGACCTGTCAAATTTCAAACTGAGCTTAAAACTGGGGGAAGAAAGGTGATTTGAGTGACTT